TTCTCCAAAAATCAGTATTGCAATGAAAAGATTGAGTGTGACTCAATCAGTGTTTCTTATTATTATTCAAAGTGGGTGATTATTAAAACTGAAAAGAATATTCTCTCGGTTTGTCACTATTGCTGATGCTTTCAAGTCTCAATTAAAAAAATTACTGGAAAAACCTTTCAATCCAAACCCTTCTTTGAGCAAAGCAGTGGCAAGGACTCTGATACTATCCATTAAACTTGCATTGGGCCAGAGGAACTGCTATCCATCCTGGTCTGAGGATACTGGACAGTAGAGAACAAGATAGTTCCCTCAGTCTGGGAACTCTGGTGTCACCCATCAGCCGTGAGCCTGCATATGGTTTAACTGCAAAAATTCAAGCAGCATCATGGATACAGTTATTTTTTGGGGAAAAATGCAATATAACTCCATAAACTGAAAAAACCCCAGTCTCACTAGGACCAATTCAGCCCCATATAAAATTAAAAACACTTTCTTGTTGTGCAGGTGAGAACTGAATATAAGCCAGTGACTTATGTGCTGTGTCAGTCTGCTGTGTACCCTGGGTTTGGGTGTGATTTGGGCATATTCAAACCTCTAGTGTTCAGAACCAGTGTTTTTATGCTCTGTGCTTGGTTATTACCTGTTAAATACACCATGTGCCTGTTTAGCGTGCCCTGGCAGTTGCACAATTCATGTAAGAGAGGTATAAATCTCAGGAATGAAGGAGCTCTTTAAGAGCAGGCAAAATTTAAGACCCTTCTCTTCCATACTGAAAACTTCAGCCTCTGATGTCAGTAGTGTCATTTATTGCCTTTCTTTGTGGTATAAGAGTGTGAGAGACCTCATAATATGCAGAATTAAGCTATGCTCAGTGCCTGTGTCTCTTTTAGCACCATATAAGAATATCCTGTGCTCTATACTATCCCCCCTGCACATACTATACATTAGTGTCATGCCATTTTTAACAGCAGCTTTGATCTTCTCACAGGAAATTCCCATGCAAGCTATTTTCTCCAAACCAATAGCTAGGTTAAACCCTGACAGTTCCGATTGCCGTAGATCCTAAAGGATCAGAGAGACAGCTTACATTTTGGTGCATTGTTACTTCTTTTCTTGTAGTGTCTCACTCCAGGTATCAGGAAAATTACCAAAGAGCACTGAGGACCAATTCTACCACATTCCCAGGAAACTAGACACACAGAAATAGCAAGGTCCAGGCTCCCTGGTAGAAGGAATGTTGCAACACTGAGGCAGGTGGCACAAAGGAGCTCTATCAGCAGTATAGGCAGAAGTGGTATATATCCTGTTGAGTTCCTTGGGCAGTCAGATACAAGCAGTTGTCACAGCTTATCTCCACCCTCCAGTTTTTAAACATTGGTAGAGTCCTATCTGTGAACCGAATGAAGGCAAATAGCAAACGTGACAGTTTGGGTGCTGGACCCATAAGCTTGGAAAATTAGTGTGGGTAAACATCAGCTTGTCTTATATAACCAAAAACATGTCAGGAAGGAATCAACACCTATGTCCCTATCCCTTCATCTGAACAAGGCTTGAAGTTGCTATGGAGAATACATTCAAGGTTTATACCTAAACATTCAAGGTGCTGTGAAGAAAATGCATGAGTTATATACCTTCTCATAACTTTTAGTTGAAACAGGGAGAACATTTTAAGGCAGAGGCATATTTACTGGGAGAACCAGGCTTCAAAATGGAAAAGGAAAAAAGGGGAAGGGAAGGGAAGGGAAGGGAAGGGGAGGGAAGGGAAGGGCAGGGCAGGGCAGGACAGGGAAGGGAAGGGCAGGGAAGGGCAGGGAAGGGAAGGGAAGGGGAAGGGAAGGGAAGGGAAGGGAAGGGAAGGAAGGGAAGGGAAGGAAGGAAGGGAAGGGAAGGAAGGGAAGGGAAGGGAAGGGAAGGGAAGGGAAGGGAAGGGAAGGGAAGGGAAGGGAAGGGAAGGGAAGGGAAGGGAAGGGAAGGGAAAGCTGCAGTTTGTTCATTTGCTTAGCCCTCTCTCATGGCCAAATACAAAATATAGTCCCCTCTTATGAAGCAAGATTAAAAATTGATCAATCTTAAATATTGATGATGATAAGTCACTCTGGGTATCAAAGATAAAAGTTGACTTGTAAACGTTTGCCAGCAGACCTTAAGAGGAGTGACAGGGCAATGATGAAAATAATATATTTTTATGGATAATCATAAAGCAATGCATATAAGAAAAGTCATATCTTACGCACACATTTAATGATGGGCTTTGAGCCAACATTTTCTAAGATCTCAAAGTGAGATATTTCCATGAAAACATTAGTTCATTGTTCAACTGTAACTAAAGTGAATGTTACTAGAAAAGAAATATCATTTACATAAATTGGAAACATTTGTTTCACATTATATTTAGAAAATGTGTTCTAAGATAGGCAAATGTGATAAATGGAGTTCATACCACAGAGAAAAGAAGACTACTGTGAAATGTGCTTCATAAGAGTGTATTACCATGAGGGAATATTTCAAATAAAGATACCAGTTTTATTTGTAATAAATGAGTTAGTAATCATAAAGTGACACTGATATGGTTGAAAAAAATACACATCCTTGGGTCAAAAAAGCGCATACTATCAAATGGTATAGACTTGTTTGTTAAACTATTTAAGAATTATTGTCTTAGAGTGAAGTTACATGAAAGCTTCACCAATTTTTTGCATTCTGTTCTTTCTCTGGTAGACTTTTAATGATAATAGTTTATATATGATTTTTTTAATACCTGTCTGTGAGCAGCTGATAAGGCTTTCATATTCATGGAGACAGTGAGGAGGTCATATCCAAGACTGTGTGGCAAGTTCAGCTATTACATGGTTCATGGAGGAGGAAAAAGGACAAGAGGGCACGGGCTTAAGCTCTGTCAGGGGAGGTTTAGGTTGGATATTAGAAAGAAGTTCTCTACAGAGAGAGTGATCAGGCATTGGAATGGCCTGCCCAGAGAGGTGGTGGATTCACCGTCCCTGGAGGTTTTAAAGATGAGGCTGGATGTGGCACTGAGTGCCATGATCTAGTAATCACAGTGGGGTTGGATCAAGGGTTAGACTTGATGATCTTGAAGGTCTCTTCCAACCCAGTTAATTCTATGATTCTATGATTCTATGAAAGAAATTAAATTAGGCCAGCAGCAAGTATCACCATAGGGAATCCAATCCCATGCTCCAGAGTACTGAGTGCTGCCTACCCTCACTCTTTATTCGTACCTCTCCTTTTTTTCTTAACATCTTTCCCAGCTCAGATCCAGTGCAGGCAGCCTCTGACCATGGGACAGGGAGAGTAGTGGAACATATGTCAGGCAGATACTTTCTTTCCCAGCATGGCAGCCACTGATCCTAATCTTCTGCACCAACCAGTTGTCACAGCTCAGAGTCTCTCGTGCCAAATGAACTTGTGCTGGGTACTTGTGACATGTCTGTGAGCAGTGTCTCTATTTCTGCTGACCAATGCAAGCTTCTGGCCCAGGTGAATTAGGGATCCCACGGTGGAGAAGGAGGATCAGGTGGGATAAAAAGAATGTCCGTAAGGTGCTTATTTCTTAGGCTAGGTTGAAATAATTAGGATTCCTACATCTCCTGTGCCCATTGTATTCATCTATCTGGTCAACAAGTCTCGACTTCACCCATTTTCTCCTACAGCTGAAAACCAATATAACCATTTATATAATCTTTTAGATACAATCTGAGCACTTCCTCATGTTGTTGTTTTACATCTCAGTTACTCTGCCATCCCTGTTACTAGTTCCCAATAAGTGACCAGTGCCTGTGTCCAAGGTGATTCTGACAGTTAATGTTTTCCATACTTTTGCTTTTTCTCATTTTCAAGGTCTTCCATGGTATAATTTTCTTTTTAAAGCTAATGTCCCATTCCATGTTGAAAGTTCAGTTTCTGACACTTACAAGGTTTTTACACCCTCATCTCTTTCCTGTGTGGGTGTAGAGTTAAGTTCTTTTGGGGTTTTTTTAGAAAAGCTTTCAACATCCCCTCTGCAATGAGAGCCTTCATGATAGAAAGAGTTCCTTATAAAACTCTGCCTGGTCATCTTGCTGTCTGCTGTCAAAACTATAAGTGATGCATTTAGACAGCTCACAATGGAGTCATTATCCACCTCACTGATCATCAAAAGGCCATTATTTTCACCTACACTTCCTCACACTGTTTTACTCTCTGGCTTTAAGCTCTTTGAAATGAGAATAGGGTCTCTGTCCTGCATTTGAATTGCACCCAAAACAGAGACTAGGACACGTTCTATGGTGTTGTGATAAAAAATTAAGACAGTCTCAGCAATAAAGAGAGCAAATTGAACTTTGTTTTATAGTCTCCATTTACATGCATCCAGGTTAAATTGCTGTTGGCCTTGTGAGTCTCTCTGCTATATGCCAGAATAACAATGTTATTTACCTACAGTGGTTTTCTTTAGAAATTCAAAAGTCTGGAGGAATGAAGTTGTTTGAGAAAGGTGACCAGTTAACTGGAGTGAAAAATTTGGATAAGGTACTACTGTAACTGCAGCCTCTGTCCCTATGCAATATTCTCCACCAGGACAGAAAGTAGACAAATTTTGAGCATACAAGAACAACACAATTATGGGGAAAACAATAACCAGACTTATTTCTGAAGCCAAAATATTTTTTTGATTTAATGGCACAGTTAAAAAAAGAAAAAAAAAAGAAAAATAGAAATTATTCTTGAAAATGTGACAAAACCACAGCTTACTTAAATAAGTTTACTTAAGCTTCTCAACTTCTACGGCATTTGGTCCTTTATTCTGTTTCCAAACAACTACCCTCTAGACTTGATTCCTAAAATGCAGAACCATTAACAAATTTTAGAACAGAAGGAATGCAAGGCATTTTTTTGGTTAAATAGTAAATTGACTGTTATGCTACTTTGTGATTTTTATGCTACTAATTTTAGTAGCCTTTAAAAATTATGGTGAAGGAGAAGGATAGTGACAAATAAATGAGTTAGAGGGATGGTACAGAAAAGCTGGTTTTATTTCCAGTTATTCAGAACATCCTGACCACCAAAAAAGGGGCTAAACAGAAAGAAGGAATCCATGCCACCGTTGTCTCAAAGAAGAATTTCTCTCCAGGGGAAAAAAATACTTCTAAGCCATTTGCCTTCTGAGAGAGAACTATGGGGTTTTATCCTCTTAATCACTTCATGCACTTTCTTTCCTTCATCAAAATTTTTATTTGTCATAATGATCTCTGCTTTGCGTCTTTGTAACATGTATGGACCTTCTCAAAGATAGGTAGTTAATCACTTTTCTACACAATAGAAAGATGTCTTTACTTTTACAAAGGTGAAGCTCTTGATTATTACATTAGATTTGAGCCCCAAAATTTTATGAAATAACCAAAATTAGGTTTTCTCATTGGAATTCAAATATCACAAAAAGTCATTTTCAGGGAAAAAAAAAAAAAAAGGTACACCAGTTTCTCTGCTTCTACTTTCATTGTTTTCAGTCCCTTAAGGAGACAATGAAGAAACTTTATTAAAAATTGGGAAGCAAGCAAACCAGAGTAGAAATATAAAAGCAGAAGTAAAGACAAATGCTTTTCTTGAAATTTCTTATTGTCAGTTCTAAGCCTCATCCTTTCTTCTCTGGCTAAAGTGTTTTGGCTGATAATCCTTCTATGCAGTATGTTACAGAGAAATAAGAATATCCATCTCACTATTCAACCACCAGGACTTCCCATATGCTACTGTGCCTTCAGCATTAATACTGCCTCCAACATGGATTAGAAGGAGACTTGAAAACTTTGCTCTTACCAAAAGAACATGATGTCAGAAAGGTTAAAAACCAAACCAATTAATCACAAATAAAAATAGCACAGGACAACCTTCTGGCTGGGACTACAAAGGGAGAAACTATTTCAATGACCAGAACTAAGGGGCTGGTTAGAAACAGGTGCTATAATAAATTCTTGCCCAAACAGAACATAAAAGTACCTGCAAGAGCTGTGAGTTGAACTGCCTAGTTCATCAGAGGACACTGCACAACTTTGGTGTTGAAACACACTGAACAAAATAGAAATATGAAGGAAAAACCCTTTGGATAATAAGGCAGCTGTTTGTTATTTGACTCGAAACCCAGACAGGGTTTTCCTCCTATTCTGTACACAGAAAAGTGTTGGCCATAGAAGTTAAGGGGCTCATGAAGGCCTCAGTGAGGGAAAGGATAGAGATAACATCTAATCTGAAGGGATTATCTTGAATGGTCAATAAATCTCAAGAACTGTGATTTGAGCACAGTAATCAACGTGTGTTGTCAATTACCCTGGGCCTAACCATAAAAACCTCACTTTATACTTAGTTCTTTGCAAAGCAATCATATAAGCTTGCAATAGAAGATATGCAGACAAATGGATAGCAATTGTTACCAACGCAATTTGATTTTAAATAAAAAATATGCAGCAGCTGTGGTTTGCATTCTTCCCAAATAGTTAAGATTGATGTGTCACCTGCCAAATTCATTCATTACACCTCTTGGCTTTATGATATTATTCTTTAAAGTATTTTCTCTTCTACTGGACTATTTTATTACCCTCTTTTTATCCTCACAGATGGTTTCTGTTATTCACACTGTGGGAGCATGATGCATTTTTGTTTGCACCTCATTCAGCTGTAGAACAAATGGTTGAATAAAATTTACCACTTGAAAATTAAATGCTGTAAAATACTAAACCCACAAGTTTGAATTTCTCAGTGGAAAATTATTTCAAGTTCACCAGATAGATAAAAATTACATATTAAATAAGTGACCTCTTAATAAACTTAAATAATCCCTCTTGTAAAATAGTTTATTTTTATGTTCTTTATTCCACCAAAACTGCATTGCAGTTTTCCAGTCTTTATATTTACATTATTTGCAACTCTTTCCATAAGTGCCAGTACAAATGTAACTGATGAAAATCCAGAATAGTCATACAAATGTTCCTGAAAGCAAGGTGCATTTCTGAGCAATTCTTTTCTGATGTGCAATAATACATATGTATATATTAACAAAGCTTCATAATATAAAATATCTTCCATGGCAAGTAAAACTTCCCCACTTACAGCTTATTCAGATTTCAGTTACATAGACTTCTGCATTTCAAGTTAGTGCAAATAATGAGAGTAAGAGCCTGAGCAGAACAATGTAAATACAATGGAAAAGAAACAGCAAAATTTTACCAGCTCCCTGCATACGGTTATAACATTTAATCAGTATATCATTAGTATTCTTTATATACAATGTATTTAAATAATTGGCTTGTCTGAACTATAGGCAACAAATTTACAAAATAAAATAATGTTTCACACAAATATGGAATGTCCGACAAATATATGAAAATAAAATGCATCTAGTAACAAAATGTTATAAATCAAAAAGGTAAAAGACGTCTTCTCTGTTTTTGAAGATTTCAAGGCACTTTCTTGGCAAATCAGAATTCTCTCCTTGGTAGAAAGTCTGCAAGAGAAAAGGACATGCTAATTTATATCTAGTTTCAAACCAGAGAGGCAGAGCACTTAGTTTAGTTCTGTTTATAAATCACAGTTTCCTGCAGATTGCATAAATCTTAACTCCGGAATGTCAGTGGGTCTTGCCCTCTCATGAACACTAATGAGTTTTGCCGTGGCAAATCCTCAGCGTCAATGCCAAGAGGTTTAACAGATAATGGTCCGTGCTGCTCCATCTTGCAGGGATATTTCCCATGCACAGAGTCACGTGCATTCCTACATTCTGGGTGTCAGCAAATGCTTTACGTCCACTTGCAAGGATCTGAATTAGGAAAAAAAAAAAAAAAAAAAATCCACCCAAACGTCTAAAAGCCATAAGGGCAGTAACGCCCCGCAGCATATGCTTGGTACCCCGGCCCCGAAGCCATCCCAGAGAATGTCCGGGGCCCAGAAACGTGTCCCTTCTCCGGCCCTGTCCATGGTGCTGCAATATCCAGCCGAGGCCTGCGCTACCAGGTCCCACGGGAAGATGATAGGTTTTCCAAAAGCAAAACTTCATTATGAAGAGAAAAAGACAACGTCTCTTGTATGTACCTGGCCATTGACAGTGAGGAAGGAAAAGATTTGCATGATAACACTTTAGTTCTCTTTTATGAGGAAAAGGCAACCTATTTTAGTACTGGCAGGAGAAACATTTAAAAATAGCTGTCAGTTCTTTGAGTGAGAGCCACCTTTTTCAAGGCAACCAAGAATATCCAAGACTCTCTAAGGTGTTAAAGTGAAGGCAAATTCCCTTATAGGTAACAGGATCTATGACCCTGTCCTCTCTAAGCTAGTGTAAGGGTGGTGAGAAAAACAGGTTCTTCATGACAAAAGGTGCAGCAGAAGTAATCACAGAATCATGCTAGAAATGCTGTGGTATTGAGGGATGAAGATATGTAAGTCCTTTACTGCACTCTCTACTTGAAGGGAAGAGAGAGTGACTCCTGTTACCCTTCATCCTTCTCAGGAAAATGTTTCCATTCCAAGAAGTAGTGGATATGAGTAAACATGAAGATCTGAGGCTGTTTTATTTATAATGGAAACTATTCACTCTATTTGGTGGAGGAAAAGGGTGAGGGAGCACAGAGACATCTGGGAAACACTCAGATCATAGCTCTACTTTTCCTTTAATGTTTTCTCTATTTTTAACAAAGTAGAGAGAAAGCCAGCCTAGATACAAGTTTAAGTGAACACAGTCCACACGATCTGCTAGCAATGCTTACCATTTAAAACCTCCCCTCCCCATTTGTCATGTCTTTGAGTGTATTTTTGGCAGGTAAATTAAAACACCTGGCTTTGAAAATCCTAGCAACTTTTGATCCTTTTGTATTTTAAAGATGGAAATAGAATGAGATAGATGCTTCTGTACTGTGGATGTGTAGGTAGATCTTTGACTCATCCTCTCGAAAGAAAAAGAAAAAAAAGTATTAGAACACCCAGAAATCTTTCTGAAAGCCCTGATACATGAATCCAGAGGTGTAAACAGATACAGATGAGGGACAAACACAGACTAAATAGGGAAAAATGGAGAAAATGGGCACATGCGGGGATGTTGGAAAAAGCTGAGTTCTGAAAGAGAAAATTAACAAACAAATATGAATTTAGGAACCATTTTTTTAAAAATTTTTTTTAATAGGGCATTTGGAAAAGGATTCCTCCTTTAGTCATGAAAAGGAGATCCAGGTAAAGTAATGAGATCCCTAGTCAATCTTCAGTTCACTGCCCTTGATATATTCATAAGCATCTGCAAGACATGGAAGGCAAGAGCCCAAACAGATAGAAAATAGTTAAGAGGAAGAGAAAGAAATTATGTCATTTTTTCTCAGCACTGAAATATTGCCCTGTTCTTAAAGCATTTTCTCAAAGCTACCAAAATGAATCCCACCTCCACTTGGAAATCAATTCAGCTAACACTGACTCATATCCTACTCTTCCTTTCTTATTCTTGATTAATATGAATTGAAGTCTTGATGCAGGAAGAAGTGACATACACAACTCCCCCAAACTCCAAGCTTACAGTATTTGTCAGGCGGAGGAGGTGAAAAGAAACTATCTTCAAAGAAATTTAGATAAATTAAATACACTGATTTTATATATTTTATTGATCAAAAATAACCAGTGTTGTTTTTTTAAATTAACCTTTGAAAGTGTAACTGTCATATTGATATTCAAACAATAGGAGAAAACAGTTCACTTGGAGATGTTCCTTATGCCAGTGACAATGCTGTTTAATTAACAGTGACAATGCTGTTTAGTTAACACATTTAATATAATCAAGAATGGACTAGGTTCTTCCATAGACTGTTAAAACACAGTGAAGCCTTTAGCTTTGCCACATCTTTATGTGCAGTTCTTTCCATCACCATGAAGTGGCATTAACTTTACAGAAATTCTCAGGAGACCACTTGGGAATGAAAAGGGGTCCTGAAGACAAATGAAGTGACAGGTTATCTCTGAAAACTGTGCTGGCAGACTTGAGATACTCTGTTTCTTCCATGGTTTAACAAAAAAGCCCTCTGCAGAACTGAAAGGCCTGAAATAAATGTGCTGATGAAGTCTTCAGCATTTTTTTTCACCAACTAGATTCCCCCTTGAAACTTTGAACAGTAAGAGACCACCCAATGCATAATTACAGACTGTGGTGCCCCAAGTGACTTATAGGAAATTATGGTGGGGCCTCTCAGACTATCTGTGCTTCTGTGTATTCTCATGAGGAACCAGTAAGATCCTGCAATGTCAAAGCACTCTCTAAATACCATATTTTTGTATGCACACATGGTACAATTGTGAAGTGAACCACTAGACCATTCCACAAATAAAAAAATGAGTGGCGAAAATGATACTTACATAGCAAACATCCTAGGACTGTGTACACAAAGGGCTCATTGCTAATCTTGTTAGCAACCTTGCACACCTTTTGTAATCTATAAAACAAAATTACCCACAGTAATAATGAATCTCTGTTACCAGATAGAATTTCAGACACTCTACACAGTGAAACTGTTATCTGATGGAAATTCATGAAATTATGTGTGCAAGATGCAATATTAGATTGTACATTATCGCAGTCAGGGCTCTAGAGAATGTGATGGTAGGAGGTAAATTTCTGCTAGGTGGTCTCCTCCCCAGATGTGGAAGACCAGGTTCAACTCCCAATTTTATATGAAGAAATTTAATTCATTAACTGGGAGGCTATTCTAACCAGCAGCGTATATATGGCACAGTAGGAAGTAAGGCTGTTTCACTCAGTATTAACACTGGTGGAAATCTGTACATCTCCTAGTCATCAGACTAGAGATACTAGTGTCTCACTTCAATCTTCCAATCCCTCTCTCTTGTGTCCTTGGTTCAAACTAACACTTCATTCAAGTGGACCCTCAGTCACATCCATCCTTTCTGACTATGGTAACAAGAAATATTTAGGTGCTCTTTTATTCTCTTGCTTGATAAATATTAATAAAACTTAATATAAACTATGCCAAACAACAAGAAACTGAATGCTAACTGGGTTTCAGTTCCTCAGGGAATATTTTTACAGTACATAAGTATATCAGGAGGAGAGGAAGTAACGCATCCTCAGACGTCCTATGGTGTCTAAGGTGTTTCTGAAAGAAACTATCACACTCACCCTAAAGAAATAATAAAAAAAAAACCCTGGGCTGTGATCAGCCTTGGAGTAACTCTAAAACCTGAGTGCTGGCTAAGGTGAAGACAATTCTGAAGATTTAGCTCTCCCTTTTAGAACTACAGAATATTTCAGATAGAACGTAACTCAGTGTCTGACTTGGGTTGTGTTGATGTAAGGGACAAAATAACCTCTGCTTTATTTTTTTATTTTACAATTTGTTTTGTTTTGATAAATTAAAAATAAGTTCTTCACACCATTCTAACCATAGTGTTGTTTGCAATTTTTTTTTTTTAAAGGCTACTTTATTAGAAGAGAAGTAATACAACTGTGTCTCTTTACAAGTAAAGTGAAGCACTCAGGCAATACATGTTTATCCAAATAATATCCACATACTCTGGATCCATGTATCAAAGCATACAACATGCAACACGTGTCCTATTTTTGTTATTCATCATGTAATAGATATATGCCTAGCCTACTCATGCCTACTTAGAAAGTTATATGTATATTTTTTGAGGATCAGCCATGGATTTCTACATTCCAGCTTCTGATAATGTAAACGTAGATGGAGATGAGGGCTGCTCCATCCCCTTTCAAAGGCTGGGTCCTCTGAGGTGCTGAGCTATGAAGAGAGAGCATTGTAGCTGCTCACAAACAGTGCCTCTAAGTGATGCAGTCAAAAAGTGTCATTGGTCTTTCAGGTTAAATCCTGAAAAGCTTCTAAAGCACCCTGGTCCATAGTTTGTCCTTAGAAATCACTAATGAGACTCACATTTTCTAAACAAAAGATACTATGTATTTTTCAGTCACTTTCTTTGAATTGTCCTTTGCACTAGAGAATGTGTAAGCAATTTCTATTTAAGCGATTTCCATTTTGTTTTGGGTTTTGGGGGGTTTTTTATCCATTTGATAACATCTTAGAACACTTATTTTTCAGTCTCTCTGACATAATTACATTCAGGTTGTGTTCAAGCAAAGCTTCTGTAGATCTTCTAGAGGAATGTTGTTTGACAAGAACTGAAAGTATCAATAACAGAAATGAGAAATCGATTGTGTGTTTTTCTAAAAATGGGTATATAATAGAAAATTATCCTCACAAATTGAAATATAAAAAACCCCAAGATATAACCATATTATTGAGCATTAAGAGAAGGTAAAGAATGGTTCAGTTTTATCTTATTGCACAAGTTAATAAGTAAAATTAAAGGAAGCAGGAAGGAGAATATGGCTTCATATCTGCCCTCTGCCTAAGCATGCCCTATGTTCTTTTTTCAGAGTGTAGTTTTCATTTCATTTATTTCAGTCTCTCTTTGAAGGAACTCCATGATACTCCGCTGAAGGCAAGTGTATTAACAGAAAATCTTTGTGTATCAGAGGACCTTGAGTATGTTTTGTAGCATGCTGTTAAACAGCCACTGTTACAAAAGGACCAGGACGCCAAACAGTAGAAAAAGTGAGTTGCTTTTAAACAAGTATCACAGCGAGCATTAAAAGGTACTTTGTTACTTACAGGTTGGAGTTGAGCAGTCCCTTGTGTTGTGATACAGTCGATGAAAGTGCTTGCTACACTCTGATGAAAATGTGACTGGCCCTGTTTGAAAGTAATCAGGAGTTAACCACAAGCTCTCAGTGTCAGTGCTCTGCAGCTTCAATGAATGACGACAACACATAGAATTAAGTTCCTTTCTTCTTGGTTAAAATTGCATTTAGTCTTTTACTATATCTTAAGCAACTATGATGCAATAGGTATAATAATGCTACTGAAGTAACAGAAAGAAATATTATTGCAATGTCCTTATGGTCATGATATGAGAACCAGAAGAATGACCCCCGGAAATGATGGGCTGGTTTAGCCTTGGAATTCTAGTAATTCAAAATTAGCAGTAAAGTTTCTTATATGGTGAAAAATAGAAAGGTGCAACTACAACAGAATTTAGTTGACTCAGTAGTTGTCAGTAGTCTGATTTTAAAAGTAACAATGCATCTGGAATGCGGATATTATTTCTAAAGATAAATAAAAGCAACATTTTAAGTAGATACGGGTTTCTAATCCCTGGAAAGATGAAGTACTTTCATATACTAATGCTCCTAATTTGCACATAGATGGTTTATGAAGTTCTTAATATACAGCGTGGGTGTTGAGGGGAAAAAAAAAAAAAAGACAGCTGAATAACATCTAGGAACCTGATCTCCTGTTAAAATAATCCTAGTAAGAAAGGATGCAAATGTGCAGCAGGCAAGATGTGTTTCATTTTTTGGATGAGGCAAATCCCTATGTGCCCAGGGTACAATGTGCTGCTCCCTTCTCTGGGTATAGAGTGTCATCTGCTTACACTAATGTTTGATAAGAAAGTTGTCCCTGATCACAGAAGAGGGCTTGGAACTAGATGACCTTTCAAGTCCCTTACAACCCAAACCATTCTATGGCTCTATGATTCTATAAAAACATTATAGAATGTCAAAGTTAACAAGTTGCCAAAGAGCCCTTCCATAATCGCTGATGGCCCTGGGAAAGAATTACTGATAACATTCAGGTTGAAGAGAACAAAATGTAATACTTGCATCCAGTAACCTGCTTAGCAAGACTATCACTGACAGTTGGGAATGAGTATCCTGTGATTTGGACAGAAAACATTGACATAAATTGATGTTAACTGAATAAGACTAAATTTAAATCTAAATTCAGCACAAATAGGAACCCTGAATAAAAATAGCCTGTTTCAGGCAATGCTGCAAAAAGATCCACAAGAAGCATACTGTGTCGGCTAACTTTCCTGTAAGAGGAAATAGCAAGCATTTCTAGGCAAAAAATTACTAATTTCATAACTTGAAAGGTGGTTTATTAGCCTGGTAAAATATACCAAGCTAATTCTCTCTGGATAGTGAAGTCAGACTGCCATGAACTCAAGAGGAGATTCCTCTCTATGACAGTGAACACACCTGAAGATTAGATATGTTTTACAGAAGTACATGGACTTCACTGGATTTTTTTCAGCCACAAGTAAGGTTTTCGATAAACTGAAAAAGTAGTCTTTGCAACTTTGAACTGTAACATTGTCACCATTTCTTGTCTGAGTAATTAGGCTCAAGAAAAAGTATGTAAATTGAAATAATCCAGAATATATGGAGACAACATTGGCTTTTGTCACCAAAGAAATTCTATGTCCCTTCAGACAAAAAATGGTTTTCCAGCTTTCTTCCCTATCATCAAAAATAGGCTGTTGATTTTATTTGTCCCTTACAGAGCACTCTGTGTCAGCAGGTTTTTCAAGATAAATTGATAGATTGCTTTATGACTCACAAGATTATTTATGATTTTTCCTGTAGTCAAAGACTGTTACATATGGTTCTTCTTTGGCTTTAAAATGTGTCTACTATTCTTGGCATGCGAGAGGTATACATTAATTTTCTTAACTCTGAAACTGTAAAGACAATGGACTGTAAAGATAATGTTCATTTCAGCTTCTCCCCTTTTTTTCACAACTTCATAACTCTAGGATTTCCTAACTGTTGAGCTAATAGGGACTATAACTGAACTGTTTAATTAATGAAATTTGCTAGAAGAAGGATTACGATTGGAGGTGTAGGCAGAAATTCTGAGCCAACAAATAAACCTTCAGTATTTTAGAATCCTGCTTTCCTTATTCATTCCAGCTAACGTTAGTCAAGTAATTTCAGCAATTTTGATGGCAACTACTCGTGCAGAAAAGGACTATTAATTTAATTATTGGTTACAGAGACAGGTCTTCAATTATTTTTTTCTTTTTCTCTTTTCTATGATTTAATACTCTCAAAATACAGTCTGTAAAACTCATGGTTGTTTTTCACTGGTTTTGAGTAATGCGACTCATTCTGTAATCATTATTTAGCTTCTCCAGATTCTTATGCTGAGCTTTTTACAGTAGCTGAGGAGTTTCCAAAGTTAAAAAATAAAAGGAAATTGATTAAGTACTAACATAAACTAATCTTTCTTGTCTGTCCTCTCCAGGAGAGGAATATTCAGTACTGCTGCACTACACAGCATAGCATAGTTTGAATCTCTATGTAGATTTCCTTCTCATATGGACTGAAAATGGGCAGATTCGTAATTCTTGTTTACTGGCTCTGGTACATTTCCTGCAGTTGCTGTTAGGTTGCAGTCAGCCATTGACAAAAAGATTCTTAAAGTTTTGCTTATCCCAAAGATTTAAGTGCACTTCCCCCATGCAAAAGAGACAACAAATTCCCTCCTTTCTTGTCAAGGGCTGCCTGAAATTTCCAATAAAGAGGAAATGCATAATTATTTCCAATTCTCTTTTCATGCTCCAGCTGCCAACTATTTCTCTATTTTCTAGTTTTACTAATAAACTTGAAAATCACCAACAGATTTGCAGTGTCATACTTTGAGACCTTCATTTTTCTGAATTACAGAACAGTTGGAACTGAAGAATAAAGAATCAGTGCAAGCACCTTGCCATTGGCAACTCTTATTGTAGATATATTCATAGGGTACAATATTTTTCCCAGTAGCTACAAATAGACCCTCAAAGGTAAGTGCATTATAAAACTCCACCTCAGTTTTCAAGTACTTAACTGCAATCATCATGAACTTTTATATTTGAAACAACCAGTTATCTTTCTTTTTCATTTATTCTGATTTAATCCTTCCTTTTTCTATTTGTTTCTACTGTTAAAATAAGCACCCCCTTGTATACATCATGAGACAGATGCAAAATAGTTTCCCAGACATGGTGAAAACTTGTTTGGCCACACAGGTCTGTTTAGGAAAGATATGTGCAGTCCAACGAGAAGTCATAAAATCACTGAATGTGAAAAAATGAAAGCATCAATAGAATGTTAAAAATTAAACAAAAGCTTTTAAATAATGTTTTAACTTACCATGTTTTGAGAGTTATTTGATGCTAGATAATTCAGTTGATTAGTCATTGCAACTAGAGTTTTTCAAAAAGTTCTAGTCCTAAAATATGCATATTTAACTTCAAAAATGTTTAACTTGGTGCCAAACCTCAAAGAAAAAAACTAATGGTGTGATTCTTGTGGCTACTTAGAATAAGCACATGTAGGAAAATTATGAGCAATCATCTGCCTTACCTGTAAAGTGTTTTATGAACTTGTCTTTTAGACTGGAATCTCTTGGAAAAATTTCTGAAAAGAGAAGAAAAAAGATGCATTTATGTAGCATAGAAATTACAACAAAAGCCCTGAAAACATATTATGTCAAGATGTCTGATGTAAAGAGATCAAACAACTTCCCAAATTGACCATGAAATTAATTTTCATAGTTGTGGGTGTATTGGTGGATGTGTAAATGACACTGTGAAGTATTTCAGGTAGTTCACAGATAAATAGCAAATGGTCATCCTAAAATATACTATTAGATTTTCTGACAATAATTTCTGCTTATCTTCGTTCTGAGTGGGGCTATAACTTTTGAAAGACCACAAATAATACACATATATTATCATGTTATGACAAATACAGGAGTCCCTTAAGAAATCATGTAAAACATGTAGATAAACACAAATCAAATACCATTTGCTGGGGTTTGAAATAACAAGTATCCGAAGAGAAAAGTCTCCTAAAGATCACATGGGTCATGTATATTTTCACTCCACTATTAGACAAAAAATGGTTCTTCTCTCCTGTGAAAACTGCTGAAAATTTTAAAATGCTCCCTTTCCATTTGTGGTAATCTTTTCTTAAAAGTACAAGATAGTAGAAGCCTCAGAACAGCCAAAGGAACCATGAAGAACACAACTGGAGCTAACACAAAAACTAAAGTTGCTTGTTTTTCTTTTTTTTAATAGGAAGCTGCAGAAACTTTTGATGCAAGTAAATATTCTAAGTAAATATTCTAAGAACTAATACACATGCCCCCCCCCCCCCATCTCATAAATAAAACTTTTTAATAGTTTTTCCACTGAAAAACTATTAAAAATTCTTGGGTAACTGTAATTATTGCTGCAGATAGTTACTGTATATAACAACTGCATTTTATGTCAAATTCAAAAGAAATACCTTTCTAAGCAGTATTACAGGGAACGTGATTAACTCACAGCATTAGGACCTATTTATTAGGACATATTTATTAATTAAAAATATTTCCTTAGAGCTTATGTAATTTTAAATCTTTTTATTCTCCTACTTTTTTTTCATTTCCCCATCTGAATTAACATTTAGCTCAGAAGATTGCAAGTTTTCATTCATAGTATAGGAAGATGTTGGTTATCTGCCAAGATCAATTCTTACCACTGGCTTTAGGCAGTTTCTCAGAGGTCAGATGAGTGTATTTTTAGGCTGGGATTTTGAGCTAAAATGCCCAAGCCTTATTGCAACTCAGCAATGTTAGAAGACCTACTTTTCTTCAGGTTCCTCAAAAATATCAGTTTTAACTCACTTGGTTCCTTATTGCAGATGAAATTCCATCCCTTCTCCATTAAACTTAGAATTTTACTGACATAAAATGTCAGGTAGTTCAAAATTACATGGAATGAAGATTATGAAAAGGCAAAATGGGGAAACAGTCTGCGTGAACTTTGAATGAGATGCCTTGAGTGGACAAGTTCTGACAAATGACCACAGCTTGGTGAAGGTTGGGCTAGGAACTGCCCATTCTTGCTCTGACAAAGAGCATTTAGACACAGGCCCTTTCAAAGTCCATAGAATTTGCTATGAGAACAGTAGTTGCCTTTTGCCCCATAAAATTCTTTAGTTGCCCCATAAAATTGTTTAGGAAAAATCTGTATACAGCCAAACCCCCATCTGTGAATGCCCAGAAGGTAAAATAAGAAGTAAAAAGGAGAATTGATCTGATGCTCTGGCAAAGGGCTAGGCATTGCAAGCATAAAATTGCAGTTCTAGCCGTGTTGGCAAGCCTGAGAAGGAACATTGCAGAGTCTGCTTTCCATGAGTAACCCACACTGGCCCAAAGTTCACACCAGCCCAGCTTTGCCTTCCCAAAAGGGAAAACTAGGTCAGTTTAGTGTTGAAAAGCAGCTGAGCGATATTGCCTGCGTGCCTGCTGCTCCCCTGCTGTGGCTGCCGTCCCTCCAGGCAGCAATCAGCCTTTCAACATATGCCTGTGTTTCAGCTTCTTCAAGTGCTCATTTTCTTAATAATACAGTGTATTTGCTGATAAAACACGACCAGTGAGACCCCAGTCCTGCACAAAAACAGTCTGAGCTCATTTGTAGAAGAATCACGGGTAGTGCAGGTTACTGGAATGCTTCTGTCCGCTTGCTCTAACGGCAGAGGACTGAACCCCTTGAACTATGAAATACCCAACACAAGCACAGTCATTTTCTTCCATCTTCCAGCAGCATAGACAAGCTCTTCTGTCTGTACAGAGCTATGAGGCTGAGGCCTCAAAGGACTTAAAATTTCAATCAAACTAGTGAACATCTTCTTTCAATAGAATATGTATCACTGACTCCTGATCACACTGCAGCCTGAAGAAGGATATCAAGCCCATACAGGATGCTTTTATAAAGCAATGAAAAACCCTCATGAGAAAGCCCCTGAGGAAGTTTTTCCTGGCTTCTAAGCTCTTAGTTACTCCAGTCATATTTCTTGTGTTATCTATCACCTACTAAGGCAGATACTTTAAAATCCATTCTCACAATGACTGCACACATTCTCACAATGTAAGTAAAATTCCTTTGACATATTAATTTCACAAAAGAAAAGGATATATAATAAAAGCAAATATAATAAGATAGATTGGCAAAACTACAAAAGAAACGGAAAAATGAAACAATAAAATGTTTGAAGTGTGAAGTCCACATGAACAGGGAGTATTGAGTGGAGAGAGTATACTCAATCCATTCTTGCCTCAAGACCATATTACACAAACTAGTAAAATACAGCCAGTATAAACCCCATGGGATATAGTAACATTGTTTTTAATTAGCTGGGTGAATATTTAGACTGTGGCATTCTTGTGCCCAGGCTTACAAAGCCTGCTCAGCTCACCAGAGGGAGTATATCTGAGTTAAAAGGTACTTATGTTATTGACCCTGTGCATAATTCTGGGCATAATCTCAGTTTATAACCATAAATAACCTTAGTTTAAGGATTTATTTCTTAGTGATATTAGGACTTCTATGTGTATCCCTAGATAATTACTTATGAGGGGAAAAATGCTGCGAACTCCTCACCCCTTCCACGGACAGCAATGGCCATGGACTGTTAAATGGTGCAAAGACAAATCTGCTACTGGATCTTCTCCCTAAAACAGTAGGAATATTTAAGGAAAAATCTAGGGACAAGATAAATTTTGAGGTTTTTCCAGCTCTGCGTCACAGACAGAATGGTTAAGTTTGTACTGCAAAGCTGATTCTAAACCGTCCATGCTGTTAATTTTATCAAGATGACACTTCACAGAAGGTCTCATGGCTTCAGGTAAGAGGTGATTGGATCAGCCTAGGTTTTTTCCTATACTGGGATAAATGGGATTGTAGGAAGAGCTAGCAAGGTCTGAGCTAAGAATCTGCGAGCAATGGGTACATCAGCTCCCCATTCTCACTGTTCATTGTAAACTTTCTGAAGCTGATTTAAATCACTGTTGTAAAGCTAATTCCCTAGAATATTATTATGCAGGCTTTCCAGTTGTTATTCAACACCCAGCAGCTGACACGAATGTTTAATTTTTCACTACTTTGGGTGTGATTGCAAAGACTAAATAAACAACAGCCTGGTCTCAAGCATGTCCTCAGCTTGCAACATAAGACGTAGTTGCTTCACCTTGGATGGGTGTTTCACATTTCTGTGTCCTCTGTTTCTCTGTTTTAAGCTGTGACTGCAGGTTCTGATTTTTACCCTGTGTTTGCACTGTCTCCAGTATCATTACACCATAACTGTGCCTGGAAAATTCATGTCCTGATGGAGTATAAGTAACAAGAGCTGTGGTCCCAGCACTGAAATAAGCCAAATTCACACAAGAGTTTGTTGACTTGGGACATGAAATATCCACATCCTTAGATGACATCATCGTGGTGGAAAAAAATCAAAATCTGAATTTTTTTATGCTCCCAACAGGCAGCTTTTGCATATTTTGAGTTTATTCAGAGAAGCAGTGTCCATCAGACAGCAGAAGTTACTCCTACTCTTGGCCTAGTCCAGGTCTAGGCAAGGGGCATCTACAACATCTCATTGTAGAGTAGGTGAGTGCAGAAAATGTGAAATAGCAGAGCCCAGGCTCTGCTTCATTGCCAAAGTCCTTTAAGATTTTTAATTAAGGGAAAAAAAAATTTCTTCATCAAGAATCTCCCTTTGTAGAAATATTTACACATAAAAAAAAAAAAAAAGGCAAAAAAGTTCCAAAGCCATTTCTCCTCAATTACTTAAATAAAAAAAACTTATGAAGCATTTGTGGAGAACTTCTCCACAGTAGGTAAATGTTTCAGAAGTGTCTGTGTGTCCAATAGAACATAAACCCAGAAATTACATCAGTTATCACTATCCTTATTTTTGCCACATAAATTATATTTGTCATATTGGAGTGCAGGTGCTAAGTGCTTTGCACAACACATTCCAACTACAGTATTTAAAACTTGACATTTTGTACCAGGCTTAATAATTACCTATTTTCCAGAATATTCATAGTAAATTCAGAATATCTACTGTTAAGTTGTATAACATTCCTTGAAATGACATGTCACATGATGGAATAACAGATGTTTCTTGGTTTTATGTAGTTCTGCACTTCAAGATGTTACTTTAACAGTTAGGTGGTTTGAATGAATTTAATCTTGCAGAAATTTGTTTACAATCCAATGCTTAGTCCAAGATAGTAAATAGTAATAATAAAATATCTTATTATTTATTAAGATGATTATCTGATCTGATTTGATTTTATTCAGTCAAGTAAAGCTATTTTTAATTAATTTAACTGTCTATTCTTCAGTAAGAGCAATGTTTTACAATTTCTCCTCTTTTTTTGCTTTTTGTTCTTCTTTCCTCCCCACATTGTCCCTTACTTTATAGTCCTCTAAAGTCAAATAAATTTTTAATACAAAGCAATAAATTTTCACAGATCTTGCACTACCAAACTAATAAGAAATTTTTTCTAGTCTAAACTAAATTTATCTAAATTTTGCAGATTGGTCACACATACATTCCTACAAAAATCTTAACTCCCATATATA